AAATAGAATTATGTTGATTACACTGCGGCGTATAAAAACAAATACCTGTCTATAATAAATTTTGAAGACATTTTTTAAATCATTGTGTAATTTTTTTTACATAAAACACTTTAAAAAATCGCAAATTAAAACGTTTTATTGCAACCTGGCATCAATGCTTAAGATTTTAACCAATAAAATAAAAGCATCATAATTTGATGCTATCATTTCATTGGTTTGTGCCTTCTATAAAATCTATCGTTCTTTGTCTTTTACGTTATTAACAATTTAGTTCATATAATTTTTGTTCAAACTGACAACACTGCTTGGAGTTGCGCACAAGTTTTCTTTTGGTTCCATCGTTGCCTGACGTGATTGTTTTCTTCATTCGACGTTTGTTCCGACAGAGTTTGTTCGTTGGCTTATGTTCTGTGTTTATTGTGTTTGAGTTATATTTCAGCATAAAATGGAAGTGTACAAGGTAAGCATATTTTAATATACTTTTAAAACTAATGCCAAAAGAGTTTTTTTCATTATATAGGTACATACCTATATACCTAGTATAGTATTTATTATGCCATTGCAAAAGCGAATAGGGGCCATTTTGATTTTTTAGGAAAATTACAAAATTATATATTATTATATTATATACTTAACATTTTGAATGGCCACGTTGTTTTGTGGTTATTATTAAATTGTTTATAAAATAATAATTTTTAAATGAATGTATTATTTTGTAACATTTTAAAATTTGTTAACAGAAGTAGGTATAATTAAGGATTACCTGAGGGATTACCTGCAAAACTTTTATTATAGATGTACCTGCCTCGGGTACAAAATAATATTTTCAAATACCTAATTTAAATTTATTTTATAACAAACCTAAAATTGTTCAATTATTTAACCTACTGTTTTTTTTTAATTATTTTGGCACGTTATTTTTTTGTCTGGTAAGAAGTTAAAATTATAGTAAAAACAAGCTATTGTACTTAGGCTACTAACTTTTATTAGGTTTAATTTTTATTGGTTTGAAATGTGTTTTATTAATGAAATCAATTATTATATTTTAGCAAAACAATACCAACGTAGGTAGGGTACCATTGTACCATGTTGTGCAATATTTACCCGTAACTACAAAGTTACTTGTACCCAATATCTGTTACTACAAAGTTACTTGTACCCATTATCTGTAACTACATAGTTACTTTAGATATATTTTGCAAAGAAATATGCAATCTAAAAAAAATTATACAGGTAAAGGAAAGAGTAAGTATTATATTGTAAGTACACACTTATTAAGATTGTTTTTTTATCACCAGATTTTTATTCAATACACTTTTACATTTACATGTTCAATCATACTTTAGCATTCCTTAATTTTTTGAACAACCTGCAAACTACATACATATGTAGTTATCTTATTTTTTTACTGACACTACCCATTTTAAATAACTTGTTGATAATTATTACTATTTTTTTTAAGGAATTTTGCATAGTGGAATTTGATTCTAAGCAGGTGGAAGGAGTGCACCAATCGTGGTTGCAAAAGGTTGGACACACCACTTATTGCTGGTGGCCACCAAGTGGCCATAAATATATCAATGTGTCTAGATTTAAAAGCATTAATAAATACAACTTGGATGGATGGTTCACCCTGGAGGTTAAAGTTATAAACGATTATGGTAAATTTAGTTTTATTTTTACCAACATAAAATTTATATATTTCATTCCAGACACATTACCAAAATGCCTGGCAAAACTGAGGCACCTTGAAAATAACACGTCCTCATCCAGTGAGGGGCAAAAGGGCAGAGGCTACAGGAAAATTAAAAAAAAAGTTTTAAATGATTCTGATTGTAAGCATAATTATTTTTTAAGTTTATAAATTCTAAATAAATTCTTTTTTAGCCAATGAAGACGAATTACCTTACAAAAAACCACGAAAAGGTTTATATTTATCTTTTGGTGTAGGTACATATTATTAAATACATTTATTTCTTAATTTTTAGATCTTCAAGATAATATTGAAAAAAGAATGGAGGATATTCACCATCAATCTTCAGCAAGTGGTAATTAGTTTTTTTGAGTGTTGAATGCATCTAACGATACATTTTTTCTAGAAACAATTATTTCGGATCCAACAATTCAGGAGAAAAATCAAAATTTAAATGCAAGCGAACATTTTAATGAAAGTGAACATGAAAGCATAAATTTATTGGAACCACTTAATGATGGTAAGTACCTATTAATATTAAATATTATTTTATATTATTATCAATGATTTATTTTAGTAATTAATGATACTCGTATAACCTTTGAGTCATTAAGGGCAGAGCAGGGCTCAGCCAATACGGAGTTGGCTCAAATAAATGGTATGTATTTAGTATTTTTATTTAGGTTTAGTTAAATAAAAATGAATAGTGTTTAATACTTTATTTACAGATAGGATGAATGCAATGGACAAAAAAATGGACATCATATTAAGGGAGGTAAAAAAGGTCCAAATTTTATTATCCAACAAAAATTATAATAACAATCCTGAGGTATACTCAGTGTTGGAGGAATTGCCATTGAAGACAATCGAAGAAGTGAGGCAATTTGATATAAAATTAAATGATCCTATCAACAAAGAAAAATTTGTAAGTATTATACAATCTACCACCTTTACAGTTTTTCAAGGAAATATTAAAAAAGTTAAAATATTTTAAAATTAATTTTGCAGATTGGCCACGTTAAATATTTTATGGAGACCAAACCAGAATCCACAATCCGCAAAATATTGAAGTCGATCTACACTGACGAATTGGCAATAAAATTATCGTGGACTGGGAGGAAGGAAACATTTGGGGTAGCCAATACCCTTCAAATAAAGATTATGGAAGGTAAGTTTTACTAATTATTATTATTTATTGAGATGTTAATTTAATCAATTTTAGGGGTACTTCAAACCTCACTTCCACGCTTTGTGAAAAGCGTTTTTGTGACAACAGTCCAAAATTGGTTCCGATTTGCCAAGTCAAGGGACCAAAGAAGCCACTAAATTATTTTTTTATTATTATTATTGATTATTATTATTGATTAAAGGTGTTGAACCAGTTGGGTTGCTGGATTTTGGATAGCCTCACCAGCCTTGTGCCCCCCCCCCCAAATTAAGATAATTTAAATTCAATTGACTTAATTTGTAATTTACTATAGTTTACTAAAACATTTTAAAATTTTTGTAAAAAAATAAGTTTAAATAGGTACCTATTTATTATTTTTTTTGCAAAAATTTAAATCATGTGAAATTTAGTATAAACTATGGTAAATGATAAATTGCACAACATTAAATTATTTTAATTAGAAGGGCAGGAGGTTTGCCAGGAACTAACTTTTTTTTTGCAAATCTTAATGTAAATTTTGCTTTACAAAACTTGCTTATTTAATATCTGAGAAATATGTACATCCAAAATCCACCAACCTGACACATTATTGTTAACAATTAGCTTCAAAAGTAAAAAATTATTTACGTCCTTGTAAGAACGTAAATAATTTTTTCTACAACCACTATGTAAAAGTTACATTGCTTAGAAAATGAATCTTTTCATTGGCAAGGCAAAACTCAATTGTAAAGTGACATTTCTGTGTAAAAAGTGTGAAAAGAAATTAAAAACAGAATAAGATGAAAGTAATTTTAACAGCTGTCAAACACGTTTTTAGGTTATTTTGTTTTGCATTTGAAAATAATAAAAAATAAAAGGGTCGTAGAAAGCTTTCTTCAGCAATTTAAAACTTGCATGAAAAAGTCGCTTTTCAACACTTGTTAAACAAACTATTATACATTTACCACACATTTTTTGTATATGTTTTAAAATCTTACTTTTCTAATCTACTGTACAATGGTTATCATTGCTAACCAAAAATCATGTATTTTTTACTGAATAATCAGTAGCAAATTTTATCCATGATTTTAGGTTTTTGGTTAGCAATCCATTTACTTAATTTTTTAAAATGATACTTTTCTCAAATAGTACACAATGGTTACCATTGATAATGCACCATAGTTACCATTACCTACTAATGATTATAATTAGTAAAAAATTGTTTACATGATTTTATATTTTTACTTAGCAATAGGTTTAAACCTTAAGGATATTTAATAATAGTTTTAATAATAAATTAAAACCATGTAAATCAATTCAAAGCATTTTTTTTACTGCTTGTGCAATAGATTTTTTAATAGAAATTTTTTTCCCTATATGTACATTTGTAATTACTAAAATTTACTTTAATGAAATGTAAAAATTTCTGACCTAATACTCAACTTTTTTTAATATTTTAATTTTTGTATTTATTTTCATATTTTGTATTATTTGTTGTAAAATAAATTTTTGTAATGTTTTAAATATTTTTTTTAAAAATATTCTACAAATCCTACCCAAAATAATTAAAAAATCCAACGTTTTGTAATACAGAAATCCCACATATTTCTAACGTTTTATAATACATAAAACCCACGTTGTATAATACACAAAACCCACGTATTTGCAACGTTTTATAATACATAAAAGCAACGTTGTATAATACACAAAACCCACGTATTTGCAACGTTTTATAATACATAAAAGCAACGTTGTATAATACGTAAATCCCACGTTTTTTATAACATTAAAAACTAACGTTGTCAGATAACGTTATAAACCGGGACATTTCAACATAAAATTATACATAAAAGTTAGGTTTTGCCAACGTGGGAAAAACGTTGTTTCTACGTAAAATTTCTACTAGGGTCACTACATACATGGTTGTGTGGAATCGTTATTTTATAAAATTTTAACACATTTTGACAGAATTTATGTGTTTTATGAGCAATTTGAGGTAATTTGTTGAATAAATGTTATGTAATATATTTGTGTTTTTTATTAAATACTGGCTGGATTTTAGATATGGTATCCCTGATGGTCCAAAAAATGGAATAAAATAACTTTATTATAAATGTCATTTTAAGATAGATATAACTGTTTTAAAGATGTCATATTCACAAAATATTAGTTTTTTTATATTTTAAACCTCTAAGATAAAAAACTTTTAGACCACCAAAACATCCAGCCAGTTCGGAATTTTTTATACTTAGTGTAGTATACGTATACTGCCAACAAAATAAAACAAAATAAAATGCTTGCCTACAAATTTGTTTATTAACAATTCATACATGTCTTTTTTTGAATAAAAACAACACAAAAAATAGGGGAAACAAAATTAAATGCAAATAATTTATATAACAAACAACTCAATAAATAAATAAGGGTAAAACGGGACGAAACATCGCTAAAGCAAAAAAATCTTAGGTATTTTAAATAAATGCATAATATACACGAGCGATTCATTTAAAACTAGGTGTTGGTACTCGTAACAAAATATATATCGATTCATATTTACAGCTAAAATAACAGATCCTAGTTTCAAATCAAAGATCTAATACTTTTAAATCGGCTAATACTTTCAGAAACACTATCAAACTAGAATCGTCACATTCGGGTATTAACCTCTAACAACACATTATTGCTGTAACTAATTTTTCGTAGCGAGTTAGGTTTAGTTGACTTCTCTGTAAAATTTGTACACGCAGAAAGCAGCTGCCGACAGGGAAATGGTACAGTGCAAAACTTTGCGATAGGTGTCGTCTTTTCGGACTAAAACTACTGGACTTTGGGAGGTTATGGCCCCCAGGATTGGCAATCTCACCAACTTACGGGGGTCCCGTTCAACCTTAAAACGGCCTTAGTCAAGATTTTTGAAGAATACAGAAGTTGGTTATACGCTAAAGAAGTTGAGTTATTACCGGTTTTCCAATAAACAGTGTTAATCCGAATGAAGAAATAAATTGCACACAGTCTCTGTAAATATAAATTGTACCTATTAGATACAATAAATACACATTTTAGTAGTGATTGACGTGAAAATTTCAGTAAAAATCGTCAAATAAGTCGTCTAAATTTAAACAGCATTTAGCATTATTAAATTAAATTAAATTACAAAGTGTAAACGTAGCTTTAGTAGAAGGCACAAGAGTCTGGGATCGGAGCCACGATGCAGCCAGTTTGATCCGCAGTGTTGCCAAATCGTGCTTGCTCCATAAATATTTGACGCGTTTTAGAAATTATCGTATTGAAATGTTTCTTTATTAAATAAATTTAATTATAGAAAAACAGCATTTTTAGTGCCTATTGTACTAAGATAATTTAACAATTAAAAAACATTTTTTCAATTTTTTAAAATGTAGTGCCACAATATTACGTGGATGCAACCCTATACCTATAACTTATAGGTTATAGGTATATGGATGCAACATACAAATTCCCGCTTTCCGGCTTTTGTGGTGAGGTTAAGTGTTAAGCCTGATTTACAGATTGCCTTCCTTCCTTCCTCCCGTAGAAGATGAACAATACAAACCCGTACGGGAATCTATAAACGGCACTGGGAATTTGTAAAAATTAGAAAAAAATGTTTTTTAATTGTCGAATTAACTTAGTACAATAGGCACTAAAAATGTTGTTGTTTTATTATTAAATTTATGTAATAAAGAAACATTTCATTACCATAATTTGTAAAACGCATCAAATATTTATGGAGCAAGCACGATTTGGCAACACTGCGGATCAAACTGGCTGCATCGTGGCTCCGATCCCAGACTCTTGTGCCTTCTACTAAAGCTACGTTTACACTTTGTAATTTAAAAATTATCGACTTACATTTAAATGTAAAGTTAAAATTTTTGTCTTAAAAATGTATCAATTTAAAATTGTTAAAAATAAAAGTTATTGGTTTAAATTTGTAAAGAGTCATTTAAATGATAGTCAATAAAATTTTAATGCAAAAATTACCACATTAAAATTTAAAACTAACATTTAAATGTAATGTTGAAACTTTTGTATTGAAAATTTATCGACTATCATTTAAATGACTCTTTACAAATTCAAACCAATAATTTTGAGAATAAAATATTAAAATTACATTTTTTAAAAATCAATATTTTTAAACTTAAACTTTTACACTTGCATTTTATATTTAAAATATTTTTTGATTATCATAGGTTTTGAGTTTACAAAAATTTAACTTTTTAAACTGTTTTGGTAGAAAATGTTTTATATGTGTTTTTATTTTAAATGGCTTGATACTATTTTTAAATGCTAAAAAATTTAACTTTACCAAATTATTCTCATTTTATAAAATATTTATTTAAGTTTACAAAATGCCACCCAAATAAATTATTATTATTATTAAAAAATGATAGTTAGAAATTTTTGCAAAAATTGATAGAAAATAATATTGTTTAATACAGAAGTGAACTGTTAGTTAGTAAATTTTGTCTTTCAATACATGGTAGTTAAAAAGATTTTAAATTTATAAATGTAAACCTAAAATTTTTAGTTAGGAAAATTTTAAACCAATAAAATTTTAAATTAAAAAAATTATTTAATAAATGTTAAAACGGCGTGCCATAATAATCTGTGCTTTAAATGTATTGTTGACAATTCTTAAATTCATGCTTTCGAAGTCCATCAGATGGCGCGCGCGTTTCGAAAACCCGATACTTCTTTAGCGTATATTGAACTGGTAAAGAAAAATTTACCATAGAAGTTCCACATAATTATGTATATTAATAATACTATAATAGGGTTAAAAAAACTCACCTGATATTTAACACAATGGTCAAACTGCCATGATGCAGTATACAACCCGGTACATAATAACGAAAATATACTGAAATGTGCTTGTGGCGTCAAGCTATTATTCCATATAAACCCTAAAAAGAATATAATAACAAAAAAGCCCTTTTTTCAATTTTAAAATATTAATTTGGCGTTTTTATTAATTGTTTGTTATGTCGTTTTTGTAATGAAGGTAAATTTAAACAAAATCTGGCAACTTATGACAGAATCTAGTGCATTTCTTTCAAATTTAAGGTTATGGGCCCAAATTGTAAATATCTTAACTAAGTGCTTTTGGATTTATTTACACAAATTGAATGTTTAAAGTTTACCCTTGCCTAATTTCATCTGAGTAAACAAAAAGAAAAAAACCAATGAAAAAATTAATTTTGGGGTTATGGAGTTTTAAAATAGGTACAAAATTTTCTAATCATTGCTTAAGCTAATATCTGGAAGAGTAAATAAATACAGAAGGGTATTAGAGCTTTAAGGGCATAAAACTTTTGTATTATTTAGTTTTTATTTATTTTTTGCAAGAACAATTTTTGTATTAAAATTAAAATTATGACTACCTATATTATATTACAAAAGATTGCGTATTAAATTAAACTGTATCATAAAAAATAATTATTATTATGTCAGACATAATTAAAATTATAAAAAATTATATACCTATTCCATAATTTTAAAAAACTAGTTAAATTTTCTTTTGCAATTTAAACATTTATTATTAAAAAGTGAAATGGCGTGCTATAACTTTCAGATTTAAAGCACTGTTGCCAGATGCAAAATCTGTACACTCTTTAGGATGATATGCAACCCTTTATACATTAAATTAATCGATTTTATTTGATTTAAAACTATTTATTTAATTAAAAGGATTGAAAACAATTTTTAAATTATCTTTCAAAAGAAAAAAACAATGTTGCCTATTTTAAAAGTTTTAATTAACAAAAATGCCATTTTTGTGACATATATGTATATATTTTAATTTCCCTATACTATCCTACAAGATAACCTTAAAAAACACAACAAACAACAGGTCATCCTCATAATAAAAAACAACTTGGCGACCTTGAAAATATTTTTTTTATAAACTTACAAAAATAATCATGACAAACCTGATACAATTGATGTGAATCCTGATATAACTGCAGTTTTATGCAAACAATTCCCGAAACTTATCCATCTTGCCGTCTCATCTCCCAACTGACTAGGTTCGATAACGATAACACAACATTTCCTATCTAAAGCTTTCTCCAGCTCCATAGAAAAATTATGCTGCGAATATTCGCTGTCATAGACTTCTCGTATCACTGCTACATTCGTTGAATGCAGACTCCTAAAATGTCATCACTAAATATTGCTGTGAGCTCAAAGTGCCGTAAATAAAAATTGTAGGCCTTTAAATTCCCCACAAAAAAGGTAAAATAAACTTTTACATACAACAACCCATTTGGGAATTACAACTACTTTCAAAACAAGAAACAAAGCTTTTAGCAGATATAAAATAATCAATAAAAATAAAACCATTTCGTACCTGTCGCCGGCCGCATCCATTGCAACAACACTCTAAAGTCTAAACTAACTGAAAAATAAATAAAAACAACTTGTCCAGTGGGGAACCAAATAATTGACTTTCGCCTTTAGGTTATGTTACATTTTTATACGTTGACTCCACAAAACTAGTTTTGTGGTTGACTCTTCTTTGTGCACTTGCCCGGTTTCTTTGTGAACTGGAAACAAAACGGAAAACACCGAGTTTCTCGTTATGTAACGTTCAAAGTAATTTTAGAACGATTTTGAATCCATTGAAATTACAATCTTCTACTTCTTCGTGGCTAACGTCACGCACTGACAGTTGACAGTTGACAAGATATTAAAATCAAGAAAACAAGAATATATAACCACACACCGTTAAAAAATTATTATAACCGATTTATTAATAAATTATAATATATTGTATTAAGGGAATTCGTTATGTAATTCATTAATAAATCATTTTTATATGATTTGCTATCGTTACTTTAGACACAATTCGGCATAGTTGCCAATATTCCAATGGGAATATTCAAATCGCGATTTTATAATAATTATTTAATAAAGTCATTTCTAAAAATAGTTGTAAATTGATTATTTATGACTTAAACACTATTTTTATGCTAATTTAAGTGTCGATTTAAATTTAAGTCGTTTTATTTTTTTTTTGGTTGGCGTTAAATTTGTGGAAAATTAATAATATAAAAATAAAGTTGATTTTCATATTTCAAGGGTATATTATTTAATTATAAAAAAATATTAATTTAATAACTACTTGTCATTAAAATTTCCAAAAATAACATTTTGTCAAGTTGGTCGCATTGATTAAAACAAACTAAGCTAGTTATATATCTAATTGTGGTTATGTATAAATTATAGTAGATTACATTGTGCACTTGTCAAGTTGAGTTGTCGAAATTCGTAGTTAAAAATGCAATTAATTTGGCTTTGGTGGTGCTTGGATGAGTAAAATCATATAAAAATAGTATATTAAAGTACAAGTTGCAGAAGGCCACATATTCTCGCACGAATTCGAAATTTGGCCTCGAGCGACGAAGGAGCGAGTGGACGAACGAATGAGTGCGAGAATAGCCTTCTGCAACGTGTGATTTATACTATTTTCTCGATTTTAACTTTTATTTAGGTTTTTTTAATTGTTTTGTGGTCGTTGTTAGTTAGGGGATTTTTCTCGCAAAATGTCAGTTGGCAACACAAAATGCCAATATTTGTTATCCTGCACAAGTACAACCTGAACTGCACTTTTTTACATTCAACTTAAAATTTTGCATTAAAATGCATTGTTGGAGCAAACTTAATATTACAAAAACAATAATAAAGGCTTCATTTTCAATAAAAGTAATGAATTTGAGGTTATTAATCAGTTTGACATTTTGGGGGTACCAATACTTAAAAACTAAATGTTACCAAAAATCGTTTAAGAATGAGCTTCATTCTTCAACGATTTTGCGTGCGAGAATATGACATTCTTACATAAAAATCGAGAAAAGTAGTTAAATATAGGTTGCTTTACGGCCCAGCAGAGAAAGTATTCCCAGCGGATAATAATCTTCGCTTTGAAAAGAATTTATATAAAAGAAATTAAAAAATTTTGTGAAAGTAAATGTTGTCCAATGGTGAATAATGTGAAAATAATGTGTGATGTATATTTATAAAACCAAATTCGTTACTTTTTTACTCCAAAAATGTCCATAAGGCTATGTACTTTTTCTTCCATTGTGGCATTTGGCATAATTTCTTCAAAATAAAGTTTTGCCCTCAAAAGGGCTTTTACATTCGAGTTCGTTGCTATTATTTTTGGCATAATTATCTTTTTATTTATAATTGACAAGTAAATTATCAATAATAAATATTAATGTCAATTTGACAGTGTCAAAGTATTTAATTAAATTCTTTAGCAGAATCTCCATTTTTAAATACTAAAAATACTAAGTCAAACTGGCATAAGCCACCAACCTAACAAAAAAAACGAGTCCAGATAAAAAAAATGAACTGTATAATCCACAGACCACCAAAACAAATAATTTTTTTGTTTTGGTTTACAAATTCTAGTTTAGACAATTGATTATTAATTTTGATTTTGATAAATGAATAAAATAATTTTAAAACATTGATTAAGTTTATTGAGATTTTTTTGTAAATAACATTGTTGAGTTGTGTTAATGTTGACCTTGAACTCTAAACACACCTCTTCAATTTTTGACCTTTTCCCTGGAGCTACGACTTTCGGTGCACACCGGCAACCCTGCGCTTTCTTAAAAAAAAGCGGGTAAATTATTGGCAGATGTCGCTGTAGTAGCGCACCACGTGATAAATGTTTTCGTGTGCTGGCCGCGCGCTGAAATTGCTATATGTCGCTACTAGTATTGCGATGACAAGTTGCGTATGCCGTCGAGAGATCCTAGATTACGTTTTCTACGCCACTTCCACCAGTTCGAGTTTAGCCGCTGAAGGCGAACGTGACGGCAACCGCGCGCACCTCGGCCACTAGATACCCACGACGACGACGACGTTGTTTTGTTTACGTTTTTGTTACTTGACAGGTGCAGTGATTTTTCGGCGATGTTTGTGATCGATTTCGCGTGTTTTCCCTTGTGCTCGTGACGATGTCACAGTGTAAAAAGTTTGCGCCCAATATTTTTCACAAGACGAAGTGTTCGAATTGTTTTCGACAGAAGGAGGAACACTCCGCCGAGGCATTGGAATGCAATCGGGTGAGTTCCTCAGTAATAGCATTCCTATATACACACGCACACTTCGATGCTGCCCAAGTGTACCAGGATACCACCTTACACACAAAAATACCCTAGAAAGTATTTTTTTCATATTTTTACGTGTAATTTGCCATAAAACTTCCCGAATATTTCAAGTTTTGCTCACTGTGCGGCGCTATTATCTCACGTGTGCCATCCAAGCAAATTTTTGGATGCTTACAAAACACTTGTTGCCTCCCAGGCATTTTATTTCGCTTTTTACCTGCCCAAATGTTGGCCTTTTGATAGTTCGAATTGGAAAAATGATTTAGACATTATTTTCATATAAATTTACATTTAAGAACTCGTCACCCTAATATAACAAGGTTGTATGTAAAAAAAAAAAAACCGAAAAATTTAAGTCTATGTTTCTACAGGATTATACGTGGCCTACGCTTCACATACCACTTAAAAATAATTCTATAGAATGTATATTCTATGTATACATATATATATAGAGTTATTTTCAAGTTGTATGTAAAGGGTGGATTACATAAAACCTTGTAGAAGCATAAACTCAAATTTTTCGGTTTTTTAACATACAACCTTGTTATATTAGGGTGACGAACTGTCAACCTTATTTTACCCAATTTGACATCTGTCACATTTTGTAACATTTTAAAAATCCTTCAATTAATTGTTAAAAATTTTCAATAAATAATTATACTAAAATTTGAATATTATAATAAGTATTTTTTAATGTTTGTCTATGTTTGTTATCGTTTAGACATTATTTTCATATAAATTGACATTTAAGAACTGTCAACCTTATTTTACCCAATTTGACATCTGTCACATTTTCTAACATTTTAAAAATCCTTCAATTAATTGTTAAAACTTTTCAATAAATAATTATACTAAAATTTGAATATTATAATGAGTATTTTTTATTGTTTGTCTATGTTTGTTATCATTTTTGAAGGTTAAAAATAAAAATAACAATAATTTAGATACTACACACCTATTCAGTATCAATTCGTTTACAAAAACAACATTTTATGGATAACATAATAAGTAAATAAAGTATCTGTATAATTAAAAAAAATTTTGATGTAAAAACGTTTTTTCCTATCTACATCACCCTTCAATCGCCAAGGTCATACTTTTGACAGTTGCAACCTTGAGCAGTGGCTTCTGCAAAAGCCCGTAATTTATTGTGATTTTTAATGGGTTCTACAATGTTGCAATTTTATCTAAACGATTTGCAGATTTAAATGTTAAGTATCGATAAATCAGGATAATTTCAATTAGCGAAATTAAACCAGTTGAAATATTTTTTATTGTGGACATTTGAATATTTTCATTACTTTTTGTCGAGTACAACAAAAGTGTACATGACCCATTTGCATTATTTTAAATATTTTTTGATTAATTACTCACTTTTGACATTCAAACACCCTGTAGGTATGGTATGCACAAATCAACAACAAATTAATTAATTAGTCATTAAAGTTATACCGGAATTCTATAGGACAGTTAATTAGAATCATAGTGGGCGAACAATGATTTTAAAATAACCTTTACATTGTTTTGCATTTTTTAGGCACAGTACTGGAGAACTGTGGTTGTATCTTGAAAAATAAAATATATACCTACTTACATATTGCGTTAAAATTTCAACTTGTAGTTTTTAAATTATTTGTTTATGACTGTACCTCAAAAACGAGTTTTTCGGTAATTTTGAAATTTGGTATAGGTACCTATAGTTCAAGAGATGTATGACGATCAACATATTAAAAGTTCAATATTATAAATTGTCTTGTTTTTTTGATATTTTGAAACGAGTTTCATATTTTTTATCTTTCAGCAGTATGCATACAATTTTTGTCCATGACTGTATTTAAAAAACTGTTATTTAGAAAAATGTGAAATTTTGTAATAAGTTTAATAATAATAATAAGGCGAAATTTTAAAATCCAATCTCTTCTACTTTTTGGGATATTTTGATATAAAATTTGTTCTCATCTTGCTCATATTTTTTATCCATTAGGTACCAAGGTATGTATCTATACACACAATGTACACATAAATATTTATTTAATTAGCAATTTTTTTTTAATTTTCAATTATAGGTAGTTTATAAATATTATTAAGTTGTTAATTATAATTTATAATTATTAATTTGTATAACATAATAACAAACTTTCATAAATCAAACATATAGGTATAAATTTAGTTGGATATTTTAAATTTGTGTAAATACCGAATAGAAAGTTTCAGATTTATTAAAATTTCTACAATTAAATCGGA